TATGTGGATTAGCTGTTAGTAGTAACTAAAGTCAGTGGACTGAAAAAAGGCTGAAATAATAAATCAGTTCGTCTGGTCCCATTTTAGGACGAGTTCAAATGAACACAATGAAACAATGAAATGATGTTGATGAAGACTTTTAGTCAACATAACAGGGGTTATTTGTCTAATGTGCAGAAAGAAGATTATTCTTAGAGCAGCAGATGTGCTGAAAGAAAAGACGAGACTTGAAGAGTGACGTTAAAGTCTTAGTCAGCATATGCTTCGCTGAAAGGTCCTCAGAACAAAATGAGCTCTCACCTCTGACCTCTTTTTGAGTTGCATCAGACAAACACAGCTTAGCGATCAATAGTTGGGCATAAAAAATTAAAGACAACAGCTGACGATAAAAGCACAAATGCATTCGATCCACTCATCATGGTGTTTTCTTTCCCTTTCCTTGACCTCAGCTTCAGAAAGAGCTCTTTTACTAGGCTAAAGAGTTTTGGTGTGAACCATGTGACGCACAGTGTGATTAATCAGGCTTTCTGGCAGGGAAAACAAAAACAGCTTTTACACGTTATCCACAAAACTCAAACACCTTTCGCTTAGATAAAATGTGGTAAGCTGGTAACGGTAAAAGGTCAGAAGCTTTTGTGGTCAGATGAGACTGATGATGATGAGTAAGTTTCTGGCAAAAGGCAGAGCAAACTTGGGTAGTGGATTTTGGTTGTCTAGGTGGTGCTTTAGTCTGCCCTTTTTTACACTGATAGTCTCCCTGTGGCGGATGAATGAGGTGTGAGGCATGATAAACAAGGGAACAAAGCTTTAGGGAGTTGAAATAGGTCAAATGTATGTGTGTGAATTAGCAGTAGAGGCACTGGCTGAACCTAACCAGGCTAAAGCGTTTGAAGTGCAATCTTGCTTTTCTCTGTCAAACTGGTAGTCACAGTTACCTCACAAAGGGCTCTTTATCTCTCTTCATTCATCCTGAGCTATCTCCACCACTCTGTCTTACCCTCTTCTATTTTCTCCCCTCGAGTGTTAGCTGGCGCTTAGCATGCCGTGAGGACATTCATGTGACTCTGGAATTACAAGATGAACTGTGTGCATCCTGTGTGTGTTTCAAAGAGGAAATGAGGAGATGCACAAAATAAGGAATCTACAACACCCCCCCTTCTGTTCCACCTACAGCAGTGACATCACCAGTACACCCAACAGCATGATGTCACTGGCACCAATCTGACCAATCTGTATGGCCAATTATAGGGTGAACAAAATGGGTAGGAAGTTCAAAGGTCACTCAGGCCGGAGCCTAGGGTGAAAAGCAACAAAGAGGTATTGACTGGAAGGGAAGTACCCAGCTGTGTGCTGGCTTCGCTTTAGAGATGAACTTATAGAATATGACGTGAAAAATGTAAACCTGGTTTCTCTCTATTTTTCTTTTTAAAAAAATCTCAAAGTGGTCTTTTGTTCTGAGAGGATGTTGGTCTGCAGTGGTCACTACGTCACAGCTGCACAGAGTGATATTATTGCAGTGGCAGTGGATAACAGGATGTCTTGGTGGGTTAAACGGGACAGAAATGCATACAGATTCATATCAGCAGTTATTAGCTTGCCTGTGTGTGATTAATGTTTTAGATCTGAGGAGATTTTTGTGCGATAAATAGAAAAGAATGAACAGACGTTCCTATTCATTTTATCTGCTATGTTACAGATATGTAGACTTGTTATACGTTGTTCAGTCATGTATGTGTACGATGCTCAAGAATGCGTGTTGAATTTTCCATCATTCTGTACAAAGTTATACATCCCCAGTTTTTTCATGAACTTTGATCATCCCTGTATGTTTGTAAACCAACAGTTTTTATGTATTGTTTAATATTTTGTGATTTATTTGGGATTTGTCATCTGTCAAAGACAATGATCAGTTTACCACCAGACAGTCCCCTCGCTCTTAGTTTGAAAGTTGTTAATCACCTAGCACAGTACTTCCTTTCTCGTGTTTTGCTGTGGGCTTGCTGGTCAGGTAACAGTGTTGTGGTCCTTGATGTCTCTCAGCTTCCTTGATTCTCTTATGGTCTCCTGTGGTCGAACAAACTCCAATTCCACCATCTTGGATTGCAGTTGGATGGATTACTCAGAAGATCGACTGCATGTTGGAGGGTCAATGTTAATAGAACTTGCTGCAAGTTGAAAATGACACTTGGTTGCAGATAAGGGTGGGCGGTATGAACGGTATATGGTAGAAACGATACAAATCTGGCCAATGGTAAAGATTTTGACTATACCGCTCTACTGCGATAGCACATGTTGATGGTGTCATCAAGCTGCGCCTGTTTTGGTTGAAAGCATGGCAGCGGCTACAAGCAATATCATCTGCAAATTATGCCGTGCGACAGTAATAACAAAGAGAAGGAGCACTTTTATCGCGTGGAAAAACGTTAGCGTTTATCCTCCAGCTTCACTGTTTATATTATGCTAATATTATGCTAACATAGCTGTGTCACTAGCGATCACGTAGGACACAATTATATACCGGCTAGTCCAACTTCGGTAACCCTACAAAAGTCACTGCTGTTTAGTTTTCTGTCTTCATTTATGTTGGAAGTGATAGCACTCAGTCAGAACATGGCATATCATGTTTAGGTAGAAACCTGCTTCCTGCTAACTGGATTTAATAAATTCTGTTTTCATGAATGCCTAGATGTTAAACTTAATTGTTACACCTGGTAAAGCAGCAATGCTGATCATTTTATTAAAGATGAAATGATTTAGCTTTAGTTTTTAACTCTCAGTGATGCTGCAGTGTTCGTTTGACTTTGGGACCTGAAGCAGACAGAGTTCTTCGCAGGGCTCCTGATT